GAGTTTTTAAGGTCTTTCCTTTAGATCTATATTTTGTCACTAATTTCAAATTCTTCAATATGAATCTTCAAGTCAAATTTAACTTTCTGTTTTTGTTGAAATTTTTCTGTATCTTTTCAAACTTCATTATATTGATAAAGTAATTTATCTATTAATTCAAATATTCTATATAGAATACTATCTTCTAAATTTATTTCTTTGTTTGTTTTTTTTAGTTCAATTAGTATGACTATTTTAATTAGAAGTATAGCTTGTTGGCCATATACTAGTTGAAAAGAAGTATATCCAGTAGTTGCATGTCTTTTGGTCTTGTATACAAATACTATAGCTAGTATATGTATATTCCAAACTTTGTCTTTTTCTTTTACTTTTATCAGAGAACTGCAAAGTGTTCTATTTAATTATTTAACTATTTTATTAGTTTGAAAGTAATAAGGAGAAGAGAAAATATACTTAATTAAGAACTTTTCACATAATATTCTTACTGTTTCATTTGTAAAATTTCTTCTATTATCTGAGAGTATTATTTTAGATACTCTATATCTACAAACTATTTCTTTAAATATAAATTTTGCTAACGTTTTAGCATCTGTATCTAGTACTACTTTTGCTTTTAGTTATCTAGTTAAATAGTCAGTAGCAACTATAATATAGTGATTGTTCTGTTTCATTATTAGAAGAGATTTTACTAAGTTAATTTCTATTCATTCGAAAGCACGTCTAACTTAGATAGAGTAAAAAGGTTTTTTTCTTTTTCTTTTTTCTCTTTTCTAATATATTTCACATAATTGAATATAATTTAGTATATTTCTATATATTTGATCCTAATAATATCTTTCAAATATTTTATAATATATTGTATCTGTTCCTAAATATCTACTTGTAATGTATTTATGTATTGAATAAAGAACTAGTTCAACTTCAGTCTATTTTATTACTTGAATAAGATTGCTTAGATCTTTTTTATTCTTTTTATTGAATAATTTATTTTCAAGTTTATAATATCTAGATTGTTTAAAAAATATCTGTTTTTCAAAATCTGTTAAGTTAAGAGGAAGTTCATCTGTTTCTAAATATTCTATTAAATTTTGGTATTGGTCTAAATTCATGTTTTAAAAATAGAGGTAGATATATTTGGTTCAGTAATCTTGAGAAGCTGTTAACATTCGAGTATTTTTATTCAGATTTATATATTATAGTAAAGTTATAAAGTTAGTATTTTATTATCTATTATCCTAATCTTCCTTTAGGTAAAGAGGATTTTAACTATTAGAGGCTAAATAGTTAGTGATTAGAGTAAAGTGATGAATTTTTAAATATTTATAAAAATAGTTGATAGTCTATATTATAGTAGTATATTCAAGTTTAGTAGTATTATAGTTAATTTCTTTTTTCTTTAAACTTTCGCTTGTATAGGCAACTAGATGTTCTTTTCTATTATCAGAGATTTGACTATGAATAGCTCTATATCCATCATAGGAAGTATTAGTAGCAAGAATAAATTCTTCTTTGTAATTAGAATAGATTAATATAGAGGCTATTACTAATCTATGCTTCAATTCTTCAAATATTTTTTAACTATTGTCATTCTATTTATAAGGAGTATTCTAATGCAAGAATTAGTTCAAGAGTCAAGCTATTGTTTTTTTTTTTTTTTTTTTGTCATTAAGGTGAGTACTTAGCTTAATTTATTTATTAAGAATTACATTATCTATTACAATTATTACATTATAATTTCAAACTAGTCTATATTCCAAATTAAGCTTAGAACTTGTAATATGCATGCATACTATCTATCCTCATACTAAACCTACTAGAGCAATCTATAGCCCACATCTATGTATTACCTAGATTCCTGTAAGTATCCTTTTCTTTCAAATACTATACTATATTCCCTGTTTCTCCCTATATTCCTTATAGGTAACTCCCAAATTAGTTACTGCTAAACTTGAGACGTTTGTAACCTCATAGTTAGTAATACAAATAGTTTGAGCTAAGCTGCGAGCTGAATAGCTGAGCTGAGCTGATAATCAGCTCAGCTACAAGACTACTAATAATGTATCAGCTCCAAAAATAGCTCAGCTAAAGAACTTGAAGCTGAAAGAGCCTATAGGCTTAAAGCATATTATTATTAGCCAATAGTAATCATCTAGTATCAAAATTATGTTCAATTTTATCTAGTTACGTAGCTAGTTAATTGCTCAAGTAATATCAGATATATAAGTTTTATACTAAGAACTAGTGTTGCTAACAATACTTTTATCAAACTTTGATAAAAATATAAACTGCTTATATTTTTGAAGCTCAGTAAAAACTATCAAAGTATAAACTTATAAACTATATATATATATGATAAACAACGTTAAAAATTTAGCACAAATAAGTTATGTATAAAATTTTTTTTATACATAAATGTTATTCTATTTTTTGTGTATTTGATCTATGCAGGATTCCTGCATGATTTTTAATATATTCTCTAATTCAGGCTAGCTGACCTGCATTAACAAAATTTTAAAAAACTCACAATTAATCTCTATCTTGCATATCATGTGCATAAGCCACATCCTGCATAGGGAAAACTGCAATTTGTCCATTATTAGCTCTATTGTTAATTTGGTACAATTAATAATACATGCACAATAAATTTTTAACACTGGTGATAAAACCAAGAAATATTATTGAGCATATATTTAATTAATAGAGTTGATATTTGTTGTATAGTTTTTTAAAGCTAATTATTATCGATTTTAATCCCTAAGATAACGTTAATAATATTCGATGTTTTGAAGTTTATATTGCTATGACTTTTTCTTGATGTCAGTTTAGATTGTGGTTTCAAATCTGTGTTATTAAAATTAAACAAAAATAAAGTAAGATCTGCTATATCTTCAATATTAAGTTTTGTTTCAGAAGCCATAAGTGTATTAGAATTTGCTGAAGTAAAAACAAAAGGAGGAGTATTTTGATACAGAATATAAAACTTGTTATTATCGAAGATGCTTTTTTTGTCAACAATATAATCATCCTGTACTTTTGATCACCAGAATTAGATTTTTTATCAATTGAAAAGGAAACTGAATAATTGTTATTTTCGTTAATAGTAATTAAATTATTTTTAACATATTAAAATAAGTAAAAAATAGTTAAATTTAAATTATTTGTTTTGACGCTAGTTCTAGTTTTATTAGCACAAAACGAATTTGGTTTATGCTAAGCATAAAACAGTTAGGTAATTTAATGATAGCAATAGTTTAATTTTTAATCACAAAGTATATACTAGTATATTCTAGTTATATCTTTTTTATTTTATCAGTTTTAACTACGATAAATGTTAAAATTAGTTTTATCATGTGATAAAACCCAAAACATAGTGTTGATAAAATATTATATCAGTATCACTACTAAGAACTATCTCAATAAATATAAATAAATAAATACTAGTAATAGTTAACTAAGAGGCGATCAAAATATTCTTAAGGAAAGACTTTATATATATGATTTAAGATTATTTTTTTAAAATTTAATAATACTAATCTTAATGCTTATAACTTGCTTAAGTAGATACTTGTTTCTAATGTAGAATAATAACTGAAAAGTAAAAGATACTACATAATAAGTTATTTATTACTATTTAAGTAATAGGAAGAGAAAATCCTGTAAATCATGTTCTTTAAATATTTAAAATATCTTAAAAGTTGATAATGCTATTTGAATTGTCTTAATAAGATGATTCAAGTAATATTAAAATCTTAAGTATTTAAATAATTCAGCTTTAAGATATTTGATTAAAAGTAAATATTCAAAGAATATGATTTACAGGTTTTCTCTTTCTATCACTCATTTACCTCTATTTATCACGTATTAAATTTGAGGCATTATCATTTATAACTCAATATGTTTAAAAATTTTTTTGTTAAAATTATATATAATTTTATAAATATATAGTAAGATTTAAATAAATTATAACAAATACTTTGCCAAATAATAATTCGTATAGTACTACTGTATATCTAATCAACCTATATCTAATCGACTTGCTGAAAATATATTATTAATTTTAAACTTCGCCATGTAATATATTCTCATATTTATTTAAGACTATTTGCATATCATTAATAGTTTGCTAAAAATCTATCAGCAAGTTTAAACTTTATCATATAATACGACTATATTTACTTAAGATTATTCATATAATATAACTAGTTTGCCAAAAATATATTAGTAGTTTTTGATAATGAATTTGACTAGGAAGTAAAAATAAGATAAGCTAACAATCAAACTAGTCATGATCTTGAAACCTTAACTATAGCTTTGGAGCCAAGCTGTCTTAATTCAGATATTGGTTTAAAAAATAAGATAAGCTGACAATCAAACCTATCACAACCTTAGAATCTTATCCATGGCTTTAAAGCTAAGCTATCTCAATTCAGATAATTAGCTTGAGAAATAAGATAAGCTGATAATCAAACATATCACAACCTTGAACCTTAATCATGGTTTTGAAACCAAGCTATCTCAATTCAGATAATTGGCTTAAGAAATAAGATAAACTGACAATCAAACCTGTTATAATCTTGAGACCTTAATTATAGTTTTGGAACTAAGCTATCTTAATTTAGATAACTAGCTTAAGAAGTTATATTAAGCCAACTTAATTATCAGCTAATCTATCTCTACTTGGTTTTATTAAATAATATGAACAAGAAATAAAAAAAATTAGTTTTCTAAAAGAAAAAAAATTTTACATGCATAGCCTCAAAAGTCTTATTAAACACACTGTGTATTTTTTAATATAACTGATAATTAATAAGTATAAAAAAGCTTAACTAATAATTAATAAGTATAAAAAGCCTAAAAAAATACTTACTCGATTTCATAATTAATTCAAGAATTAATCTTACCTTTTACGAATAAATATTAGAATAGATACTAATAACCTTTATGGAACAGAAATTTTTGATACTTTCTCTCCTACAAATCAAAATATTTCTGATAATAATATGGATATAAGTACTACTACTACAAGTAGTAATACAAATACTCCCATTATATTAAATAAAAAAAAAACTAGACCTAAAATTTCTGATGTTAGACCCTATTTTAAACAAAAAACTATTAATGATAAGGAAGTAATTTGTGATTTTTGCAAAAGCCTATTTAGTAAAACTACTGCTACTAGTACCTTGTACAAGTATCTTAATTCTCAACATTCAGGTTGGAATACAAAAAATCTAGAATCAAAGCAACAACTTCTTATATTTATATCTGAAACTACAATTTCGAGACAAACCCTAACATTAGCTCAAAAAACTCATTTCAATATGTTAATTACTGAATGGATTATATTAAATACCTTACCTTTTTCTATTGTTTCAAGCAAATTATTTGCTAAAATGCTTCAATATCTTAATATTAATATTGACTTACTATCATATAAAACTATAAAATCTACTATTCAAAAGGTCTTTATTGTTATACAAAAAGATATTATATCTCTTTTTGAACAAATTACTAGCAAAATCTCTATTATATTAGACATATAGACTTCTCGTGCTAATATGCCTTTTATTTGTATTATAGCACATTAGATAGATAATGAGTGGAAGCTTAAAAAAATCTTACTTGATATTTGTATGCTTCCTCATCCACATACTGGTAAAGAGATTAATGAATGGTTATGCTCTATTCTTGCAACTTTTAATATTACTAGCAAAGTTTTTTATGCTACTACTGATAGAGGTTCTAATATAATTTTAGCAATGCAATTATTAAAAGGGAATTTAGTCTTAAAAAATAATTTTCATTTTCATTCTTATCGTTGCCTAGCTCATATATTAAACCTTATTGTTACAGCTAGTTTATTACCTATTAAATTATCAATTAAAAAAGTACGTAACTTTGTTAATATTATTTCATCATTATCATCTATAACTCAGAATTTTAAAGAACTTAAACAATCAATCAGTGAAAGTGAAGCAATTCGTAAAATTCTACAAGATGTCTCAACTCAGTAGAATAGTATATATATGATGCTTTTAGCCTATATAACTATGCCAACAACAATTGCTGCTATTATTAGATATAATACAGTCCGGGAAATTTCCATATTTGGTAATATATATGCCGATTAATTTGTGTAACAATTTTTATTCTAGAATTATTTAAGATCATCGATTATATAATTTTTATATTAATTTTATCGATTTTTTACATTTTTATTTGTCGAATATTGTACAAAATTAACTTGTGCTATACCGAGCGATTAAAAGATTACATAGTTTTATGTGTGTAGTTTTATAATCAACCAAAAATCAATCAAAATCAATGCACCTTCAACACTTTTAAGTAGGGTCAAAAGTGTAAATTTCTTTAAGTGCAGAAGTGTAGCTCAAATTCTCTGAGTGCAGAGGTTTTTTTTTTTACATCTATATAAACGAAAGCATTTTCACGATTGTCGTTCAACACAGTGTGAATATATAATAAAGCCTTTTACAATATTTGGCTTAAAAAAAAAAAAAAAAAAAAAAAAAATATATATATATATATATATATATATATATAAAAGTAAGTATACCTTTTTTGCACTAAGTGGAGTTTATCAGTTTGCTTTCTCTGGACAAATATTATACTGTATTTGCGAGACATAATCATTTAGTTAATTTAGATTCATGTCACTAATTGAAATGGCGAATAAGACTAAGAGTATTTTTTTATTTATTATAAACTTTTTAGTGAAATCTTATCAGCAACTACAAGAACCAGCAGAGTGAGAACTAGCAGTACAAGAGCCAGTAGCACAAGAACCAGCAGAGCGAGAACTAGCAGCAAATCTACCTTGTATTTTTTCTAGATTGGTTAGCACATACAATAGTGTTGGATTAAAAAAATGTGGAACCAAGGTACCCACACGACATGCCAATTCTCCAATATCCAAAAATCAGCTTCCTTTATATAATTCTTTTTTTTCCGAGTTGGTTGAAATTCAGACGTATTTGGAAGACTTTTCTATATGCGAACGGCATTATAATCAACTCATAGCTTCTAATTATTTTCATCGTCATCTTTTAAATTTAAATAGTGAGCGGTACAATCCAAAACGGCAAGTTGAAAGTCATGATTCTGAAACTGAATTTATCGAAAAACAAACCTGTGAAATTGGTACACAGGTTGAAAAACAATTGTGTGAGGTTGGCGTACAGACATCTGATTCTATAATTCAAGACCTTGAAAATTATGTAATATTACTTCAAGAGCAATTAAATAAAAAAATAAGTGAAATAGAAGATCTTCGAAAACATTTAGATTGTGCATATGATTATGTAGTTGAAAGTTGGGAATGTGATCAAAAAATAAATAAATTAAGTAAAGAGTTGATTAAACAAAATAATGATTTATTATTTAAGTGGGAAAATCATTTTAGTAATCAAGAAAAAAGGATTGATTCGATTGTTCAAATTGCAGCTAAAGAATGTCAAAATGTTTATAATGATATTGATTCATTAATTTTAAATAAAGATCAATTTTCTCTTAATAATTTGTTAAATTTTACACCAAATAATTGGTTAGCTAATCGTAACCCAGTTATTGTTAACTTTATTGAAGTTCTTACCCATAATAATGAAAGTAGTAATAACGATTCTACTTTAAAAGAAAAGCTCTTCAAAAAAGTAGTTGCAGTTGATGCGATTTATGGATCAAGACATAAAAACTATGTCTCTGAAATAAATCTAACCCTATCAGCAATTAAGTACTCATTGGCACAGTTCAGAATGATTGTTGATATTGACAATCATGTTATTAGTTCTGGAAGTTATATAAAATTTATTAACTGGTTAGAGTCTCTTGCAATTGAACAAGAACCTATGCCTGAAGGGCTTTTATTTCTAGCCTTCGATAATGAACAACGGGGCCAATATAATTATCTTGATCGAGAGTATAATACTGTAATTTATCATACAGTTACAAGTTTTGTTGCATTTAATATAGATAAAAAAAATTTGGTTCAATTTACAACAAATCCGTGGTGTTATAATTTATTAAATAACCTTCAATATAAAGAACTATATTATCTTACACCAGAAATGAAAACAGAATGTGAATTGGAATTAAATAAATATTTGTTGTCAATTTTAAACGAACTCATTAATGAAAAAAGAAACGAATCGAATATAATTGACACAATAATAAAAAATCAAAAAGGCGTTAGCGGTCACTCAAAATGGTGTAAAAAATGTAATACAACAAACATCGATAATAGAAAACATACCTGTCCTAACTGCAATAAAAAGTTGGATACATTAGCTGCATTAAGAGCAGAATCAACTAATGAGTCTTTTCAAATTAGTAATACGACCTCCCAATTAAACCCTATTATAATAAAACCTAATACCTTTACTCATGAACAAAAAACTTCATTTGTTGAACGTATTAGTATTACACAAAAACTTGAACCTGATCAAAATATTATTGTTCCTGAAATGCATGTGCCGGACCCATTAGGACTAAACCCTAATTCGATAAACAATGTTAAAAAAGTTTTAGAGCATATACAAAACATTACAAAAATAAACAAAGATGGGCGAAAATGGTTACTTGTTATTTGTGATGAAGTTCCTTATCATCTTGCTCAAAAAATAAAAAAAGATTTTCCTTGGTTAATTCTAATTCCTGGAGCCTTACACGAAGAAATGAACATGCTTAAAGCATTTGTAGAATTAAATTGGTTTTTATTATTGTTATATTATTATTATATATTGTTTTTTTTATATTCTCTCTAATTTAAATATTCTCATTTAGGGCTATCGATATCAAACAATTTGCTATTCGTCAAAGATATAGAACAGAAAATCAGCTCAAGTTTTTTAAAAAATGTGCAGACTATCATAAATCGTGGAACTCGATTTGCGATATATACAGACATGCTATGACGTGTGAATTGCTATGGCCATATGTGGTCGAAGCTGAAAATCCCTCGGTCGATGACTATTTAGATTGGGTAAAAAAACAAGATGATTGCATTTATAAATTAAAATTCGAGCAGGTAAAACTTTAATCAAATTACAAAATTATTGGAATTTAAAAATTCATAACTAAATAATTAAATATTATTATAGACATTTGTCTATCTTCAGGCAATAGTCAACTTTCGTACAGGAGTCAGGAATAACAGACCATCATTAAGAAATGCTGCTAGACGTATATTTGCTCCAATTTGGTCCGGTCGTAGACACCCTATATATCGCTATATTGAGGTTGATTATGAAGAGCAATTATTATGATTACATCCTGAAATTAGAAAGATTGTAGAATTATACTCTGTTATTTCATGGTCAGGCTATTGTAATCAACATCAAGGCTTTGATGCTATTCTTGAAGAAATTAATAAATATTTAAAGGCCTTAATTCTGCTCGTACCCTCACAGCGATATTGGAATATAGCAGCTCGAAACTGCACAAAATTTATAAAGGTTAGTAAATTTATTTTTGAGAAATTAAAAATAAAATTTTATATAAATACTTATCATAAACAATAAATTAGCTGCGTTACATGTTATTTGACATGATTGGACATACAGAAAATGAATCTTCAGGAGGCCGGACACGTCCAGACTACACTTCAGAATCATAGCGATTTAGAGTTCAGTTGAGGAAAACCGGATTTTTAAATCCTCAAAATGATAATCGCAGGTTTAAGAGTCTTGAAGAGGAATACTTACTTAGTGAACAATTAAAAAATTTTAGCAATTTGGTATGTGAAAGGCGAATAGCATTTATTAAGGAAACCTTCGAAAATAACAAGCCAAGCTTACCACGACCAATACCTGTTACTGAACAAGAGGAAAAGGCAGCTATGAGTGAAGAAAAGATGTTAAAAGCAGAACTTTTGCAACTATAAATTCACTACTAGCTTCTATTTCAGATCGCTCTAAGTATCGTGGTTTACAGCAGAAAAATTGTAATCAATTGTGAGAGATCTTACAAAATATTAGAGACCTGCAAGATAATCAGGAAGAACCTGAGGATGAATCAGAATCGGAATCAGAAAATTAAATAAGTTAACTATTTAATAAATATAACGTTCCCCCCCCTACCACTGTATAAATAAATAAATAAAAAAACCCCCTGGCTATAAATGAACCCAAATCAGGTACAATTTTGAACCTAATTTAGACCTAAATTTGGGTCTGTTCCCCCTCCCCCTCTCCCCACTTGAAACAAATATAAAAAAAGGAATGTTAAACGAATTTTTAAATTCAAACGGCCATATGTCAGTATGTTGTAAAACTATCAAATAGATCTAATTCATGATCATGTAGCTAACCTGAAAATTTCAATTAATACTGTAAGATCGTTCGTTTTAGTGCAGTAGTGTCCTTGAATTCTGTGATGTAATTAGATGCTGAGAATATTGTTTCTGGTGACAAAAAGCTTGTTCGGAACTAACAACTTCATGCCTTATACCTAACGATTTCAACGTGTAATAAGAGCACCCTGTAATACTGTAATAAAAAGAGTAATAAATATTTTATTACGGATCGAAGCAAAACTGAAATATTAACCGAGGTTCAGGAAATAATTAAACAGACTCGTGTACTCAAAAGTGAACCCAATCTGTACGAGTAATTATCCAAAATGAATAAGAGGAATTTTTGCTATTTCAGTATTTTTTTTAAAAAAAAAAAATCGAATGCATAGCTACATAGTACTGTAGTACTGTAGTATAGTACTGCAGTCAGTATTTAAAATTTATATGCGGAATTTGCGGAGCGCAGATTAAAAATTGGTTCCGCAAAAATATTATTTCAAGATTCCGCATATAAAAAAGTTTTTACTCAATAGAAATAATTTATTAAGAATAAAAAAAAATTGAACCCGCAACTTTTTACATAAATTCCGCAACTTTTATTAAAATGAAATATGTAATCTGCATACAATTTTAAAATTCAATTTTAAACACTGACTGCAGTACAGTTAAAAATCGATATTTAAGGTTAGAGATGATTGGATCAATTGCATGTAATCGAAAATTTCTAGAACATTTCAAAATGAGGATCATCTCCTAATTTAGAAATACCAAATATGGAAATTTCCCGAACTGTAATAAGAATCTTTACAAATTTAAACTTACATCACAAGAAGAAGCTAATCTTCATGCTGCAACACAATTTCTTGAACTGTTTTATGAAACAACTAATGTTCTTTCTAGTAGTACTTATATAACTTTAGGTATTTCTATTTTACTAATTAATGATATTATTGATAATATCTCATCATATATTCACGATTCAACAAGTCTAGAATTTCTCAAAGAAGCCACAACACAAATGTCTAGAAAAATTCAAAAATATACTAATGAAATCTATGATAAAATAGCATTTATAGCTGCTATCCTCAATCCTCAAATTAAATTAGAATTAATATCTAATGATATGAATACTGAAGCAAACCGTTCTATTTTTGATAGTATTTTTAGAACAGAATACTCTAACCTTATTCTAAATAGTTTACTTACAAATTTAGAAGTACTATTAAATTTAATATTTACAGAACAGATAGTTCAAAAAAAGCATAAAACAAATACTTCCAATAAACCTGATGAATTTACTCAGTATTTGAGTAAGGATGTTTTACTAATAGATATCGATTCATTAAACTGGTAGAAATTTAATTGTACTCATTTTCCAAATTTGTCTCAGATAGCCAAAGATTATTTGGCTGTTCAATTCATATCAGTACCTTCTGAACAGGTATTTTCTAAAGCAGGTGATACTGTCTGAGCTAAATATACATATCTATTTGAGAAAAGTATACAAGTACTTATGTGTATTAATTTCTGGTTAGACTATGGTATTAAGTTTCATAAAGAATAATTTCACTATAAATTATATACATGTAAGTATATACAAATTTGTTAAAATTCAAATTCTGGTATAAATTACTTAGCTAACATTTAATAATAAATGAATACTTTGTATTTATCTTCTATTTCTTTTTTATATAATTCGCTAGGATCATATATTTTATAAGAATTTCCTATATCAGATATTTTTCATAGTAATATGCAAGAATAGTTAGAAATATAGAATTTGATTACTTAAGCACAAATCAATTAGTTATTCGATTTCTTACTATTGAATATTTTATTTTTATGTAATTCGTATAATGTATCATATTTATTGCTATAAAGAATTAGATTCATGTTTCTGATAATATAAATTTCCTTTTTTTATTACTTTTTCTATAAATAAAGTAAATAATTCATTAGATTTTTTACTAATATATAAAAATATGCGAATTAAAATTTTATCACTATGTATCAATTTTCTAATTTGCTATAGTCATATTTTAAAAACTAAGATACTATTGAGCTACTTACTTTTACTATAAATCTATCTCAATAGCATCATTATTTGCTTGATAAGAAAAAAACCTGATCTCTTAAAAGGCGTAGATGAGCAATTATCCTGAAAAAAAGAGCTTGTGATTTATAAATAATATAAATTCGCTAAAGCCTTTACTTTCATATTTGAGACTAAGTTATTATCATTGACTTTCAATTAAGATATTTTATACTTGATCTACTTAAGTTCGAATTTAATAGTTTATCAGAAAGAATTTTTATTAGCTAGAATCAAAGATCAGCTCTATTATTACTATTATATTTCACGTTCATAGCATGTTTTGTAGAAATAGGCAAAGTAATATTGTAAGTAATAATGACCTATAACTTATCCCTTACTTAATATTAAATAATATTAAATATTTATTATATTCTATTACTTATTATGTATACATATAAAATACATAATAACGGTCTGGCAATCTTAGTGTAGTAGTTAGGTTGCCAGACTGCCATGTAAGAGGTCTAAGGTTCAAATCCCACTGTCGATGAATTTGAATAATTACTCAGACCTTTGTATTCAACTTACAGTAAACCCTGTCTGTT